GCTAGAGCCACTTGTTGCATCTGTTGTTATTTGTTCATTTTTTGTTTTTCGGGGGGGGGGGGCTGGGATGAAACCCACGGACTTTGCATGCTTAGCATGTACTCCACCACTAAGCTGTATCCCTAGCACTTTCTTCTCTTTCAATTTGCTCCTCATCTATTGCTTCCCAAATCCTGATTATATCAAATCTGCAGTTCAAGCAGCCATTCAAGACTAGCAAGAATCTCTGGAGCACTAACACAAATTCCCAGGGAAGAGATGTGTGAGATACCCATCCTGGCCTAATCAGCTTGGCCTGTAGATTAGTGTCATGTGGTCCTCTGCCCAATAAACCAGGCTACAGGAGTGGACTCTAAGGAGAACAGTAAGTTCCCTTAAAAAGGGAGTGGGATTCATGTTTTATTTAAGCCAATATCATACTGAAGAAATAGCCAACTGATTTCTAATGGTTATATGTTTATTTATATAGTAAGATGTATAATATATAATACAAAGGAAGGAAGTGACTTATCTCCTGTTCAAATACATCTGCCTCCTTGTACAGTATTTATGCCAAGTCTGAGGGGAACTGTTTTGTATCTTATTTTATAATCATAATGTAAATTCCCTGTCTGCAGGGCTGATTTTTGATACCAAGTTGCATTCCCCACAGCTTGAGAAAAAAGTAGACACTGAGTAATTTCTAATTTAAATGAACATATTAATTTTTTTTTCCTTATCACTGTTCCCTTATAATCAAGTTATAGGTAAATTTTAGTTGGAAGAGAATATAAAAAGATGAAAATTTATCACCTCAAATTAAATCTTAGATTTTTAAAATTTTCTTTTCTTTCCAGATTTTCCCGAAAACATGAACTGCCAAGAGAAAAATGAGACATAAAACTTAAGCACATTGTTTTATATTTATGATTTGCAAATTGGCATTTCATCATGGGGGCTGAATTCACAGATATACTATATAGATTGTATACAGAACTGAGACTGATTTTGTATAAATCAAAATACTTGCTGTGATCTTTGCTTTGAGAAAATTTTCTGCACTATTTGCACTAAAAATGTTTATTTATTGTTGATAAACTATCATATATTTAAGTTCTGCTGCTATTCTTCTTATTATTGATTAAATGCCTATGCATGTAATTTCAGCTACTTTTCAGTACTTTATAAAACTAATTTAAATTTATAGTTTTAATTCAAAGCTGCCTCAGTTCTTTATCAAGAGTGGTGTGGTTTTTAGATTATTTTCCTCTCAACCTTTTTTCAAGAAATTTTCAACTGTGGAAAGTCACCATTTTCTTTCTTTCTTTCTTTCTGGATGATAAAACTTTTCAAGGGCAATTTGTTTTTAAATATTCATAGTGTCAGGAAACACCAGACCTGCCAATGTGCCATCACAAGTAAGTAACTTTTACCTACAATAAATCAAAAAAGAGTAAACCAGCTCTTCATATATTGTTTTATTTTTAAAACTAAAGATACATTTAAGTTGCAAGACAGTTAAATAAATATTTTACTTAAGAAAATGACTGGTTTCGTTTAAACCAATCCAAAACAAACTTTCAGGCTAATTCTTAAAACATAAGTATCTGATGGATTTGTGGTTAGATGGGTATGCTTTCTAAATTCCTAATGTTAAAAACAATCTTTTTGTTAATAAAAATAATCTAGACATAAAAAAAAAATCAATGAATTTTTCTCATTTTTATGTGAATTCAATTTTCCTGAGAAAAGTTTTATAGGAACTAGTAAAAGTACTATTTAGTTTTTAAGCAATCCAAATTTTTAATGAATTTCCTCTTCATTTGTACTGTGTTCAGTAATTTGCTTCTATGCCATGTCACCAAATGAACATATTTCATAAGTAGCCCTAAATGATTCTAAAGGGAGAAAATTTTGAACTCTGAGGCTCAATAAACTAGTATCTAAATCACGAAACAACCTAGTGCATATTTTTGCTTAAATTTCATCCCCCTATAATTATCATTTCAACATTTGCATACAATATAGATTATCTTTGTCTTCATTCTTCTCTCCTTCTATACATGTCTTTAGCAATGGAGGTTTAGGGGAAAGACTTAATTTTCTTAGAATTGAAAAATACTTAATACTTAGTCTATGTTTGTAGAACACAAATATTCACATGGACTAAAAAGGTACAATGTTGTATGCAAAAAATGGCTTTTATTAATTGTCTGACTTGCCGGCACTGTGCTAAGGAAGGGCATGCTATTTAATATTCAAAATGCTCAGAAAAAGGTAAAATTATTCCTGATTTGTGGATGAAATAATGAAGTAAAAGTATGTCAAATTTGTGATAGTCTTTTGGGCATTTAGAACTTTCCTTATTGTCTGTGACAATATCCAGTGTGATAGCATTGGCCATCAGAGATTAATATTCCCAACAATTATTGCAGTCACTGGAAGACTTTGCATTCCCAATCTTTTACAAACAAATCAGGTAGCTTTCCTGGAAACTAGATATATCCTAGAACAAGAGGTCAGCAGACCAGAGACCTTCTAAAAGACCATTCACACTAAAAATAATGCATTACGGAAATACCATATAAAGATAACTCAAACATGGTTTAGTTATTGAAGTGCTTATCTACCTCCTGTTCTACCCAAATATATATACATGTATAAAAAATACATAATTTCCTTTAAATTAGTTTATTAGATAACCTCTTAACAACCCAGTGATTAGAGAAGTTTGATCACAATTATCTGTATTATATAAATTGGCAATTTAGTTCAGATATAGGTTATGTATGTCTTTTAGGATGGAAAGATTTTATGCCTGTGTGAATTTGGGTTCCATGACTGCAATAAACTTAAATGATGTTTTTTTCTAATGTTTTGGCTATATTTCTTTGTAAAAAATGATTATAGACATACATGCCAAAGTAAATATTCTGATTTTACTTTACTATGTAATAGAAGACTAGATGGAAATCAAAATTGTAGAGGAAAGCTTAGGAGTTTCAATAGACTATCTAGGACAGAGGTTTGTTATGGATAAAGCTTTAAAGGTTAATATCTCAAAAGAGAAGAAATTCTAAATCAATGAGATATATACTACTAAAGATAACAATTTTAAAGTTGAAAGAAATTTCTAGGAATAAACAGACTAGAGAATTTTTATTAGGATAGAGGTTGTTGGACAAATAAGGTTTAATCATAATCTATATATGATTATATTGAAAAACAGCTCCGATTTATGTACTCTTGAATAAATATTTCTCCTTTGTTTTCCTTAACTTCCTTTATTCTATAAAATAGTTCAATTATTGGTTTGCTTAATCATGATCAAAATTCTTATCTATTTCATATCAAATTTACCTTAATATCACTGAATAACAAATCACTTGAGCACTATTACTAATTAGGAAGTAACAGGCCCATGTCAGTTGCATATCGGTTTATTCTTTTCACTTTAAACCACTGCCCTAAATAATAAAACACTTCCTGATTGCAGTTTGATTTAAAATAAAAATGTAGTGTTAAGAGAATTTAGTCTTGTTGGATTGAGAGTGCTCTTTAAAGGCTCTCTAAAAGCACAATAAATGTTTAATAAGCAATAAATATAAACTTTTATATAGAGTTCAGTGTTAGTTACTTATAAAACATAGACTAAATGAACATAATGTTTTATAAAAGATTGAGGGAACTAAAAAGTTTATGGCTCTGATGGAAGATGTCACATTATAAAATTAAAATTTAATATATCAGATAGAATATTTGCTTTCCCAAGTAAATGCATAGTCCTTTTTGGTATAGATACTGTTTCTTTTCTTTTTTAAAAAAAGTATTGCTTTTTTTAGCCTTACACTACCAACTGGAAGAAATTAAAGTCATATCCTCAGTTTTAGGCAACAAAGTTTCTAGAAGTAGACAACTACAAGAATGGTATGAAGTGAGTTATATACATTATAAAAATGTAAAAGCCATTGACCCTATATCCTAAGTATTTCTTAGCAGGGTATTCTCTGTTATATATGTTTTTTTATTATAGAAAATGAATGACCTTTCCTTGTATTTAATTTGGGAACTACTCAGCAGAAAATACTCAAGATTTTGTATTCTAAAACAATTGTACTTGCTTTTTTTTAACATTAAAAGAGCATTTTATATTACTGTCTTTAGTATATTAAAATAACTTCTATTTTTAAATATGCATACAATTAACAATTATACTGTATAATTTGATTTATGTATATTACTATGCCCCAAATCTTTCATACTAGAGATTTCAGCAATATCACTTGCCTTTTTTCTTTTCCTTGCTCCCATTTTAGCAAAATGTAATATATTCTCCAATAAAAATTCACATATTTAAAATGTTGATATAAGTGATAAAATTAATCCTTCTACATTCTAGAATGTACTAATATTTCAAAGCCATACATTGTGAATACTCTTTCTTTCTATTCAAACATGATAACTTTTCTCTAGTAGGTTCCTTCAAATCAAAAGTTCAGGTTACCTAGTAAAGTCCTGTGTTTCAGTAATAAAATAGGAGAATGGTTCTGTTTCACATGTGCCTTTTACCAAAACAAAAAATTTTCAGAATATTTAGCAGTCATTGTTCATGAGATGTTACTAATGTTAATTAAACTAGATTCACCAGTCACATAATTTCTAGAATGATAGATGCTGTAACTCATTCCCCCTGTTTAATAGGCATGACAGCCAAATTCTCTAGTTCTTAACTGGGATTTGCTCTTATTGATATTTTACCCTACTAACTTTTACAGTGTTAAACTTCGGGAATCAAGCTGGTTGATAGTTGGCTCAAACAATCTTTGTAGTCTAGTCTCTGGAACAGTAACGAAAGGTTGCTATTAAGAAAGCAAATATGATTTGAATTCATATGTAAGAGCCATAGAGTGAATGTTGCTTCTATTTTATTAGGTATTAGACCCATCTTAGACAAAAAGTAAGTTATAAGTTTTATTATTTTTTTAAATGATGAGAAACAGAAGAGATTCCAGAAAGGGCAACAAAATTATTATTAACAATTCAAAATATATTATCTAAGGAAAAGTTAAAGTGATTATTATACCTGAAAGATAAGTTTAAACAATTTCAAAGCTCCTTATATCTCATCAACGTGCCCTATTTTTTAGAAATAATGGTAATAGGGTCAGAAGATAGAAAACACAAACTGTGCATCTGGAAGTGAAATAAGAGACATTCAAGATCATAACAGGTTTAAGGGAAGAGAGTCAGAGGGGGCTTTGTGAGGAGATGCATGCTATGACAAGGAAGATTTATACTGGTAACCTCAAGTGATGACAGAATAATTGTTTTGCAGTGAATACAATTTTCATAGTCTAGAATGAGTTTCAAAATGATGAATAATTTTCCTTATATTGATGAAAGAAGTGGCTACTTCCTGTTCTTAAACATCTAAATACACTAAGAGTTGGTCATTTTTTTTCCATTTTCATAGCTACATTTTACAATTCTCGATGACATGTCCCATTTCCTAAATCATTTTTATTCAGAATTGCACCATGCCCTTTTTTTTGGAAGTGTTTCTTATGTGTCCTTCACTTTGGAACTCCAAAGGGAAACTTCAGGCAGTGAGAAACACAGCTTCATCAGAATCCCGGTCCTTACCACTGTCTTCGCTTGGTGCACGCTCACCACCACTTGGAGACCGACAACTTAAATCCTCCACCCCAGACTCTTGATCACTGTTCACTGACAAGTCTGGATCTGAGCTTTTCAGATTGTCTTGGGTTAGAATCAGAGCAGAATCTTCATCACCCTGTGAAGGGCTTCTGGATGGAAATGATTTCATATTCCCACTGTAATCCTGGGGAGTGTTGGCTGTGCTGTTGTCTGTGGTAGAAAACCCTGAGTGTTTGCTGGGTTCACTTTGCTTGTTACTCTTCACTGTAGTGTGACTTAACTGGACCTTCTGAATTTTTTCCAGCCTCTGAAGAAGAAATAACAATTTCAGGGAAAAATTTACCTTCTCCTTTTATACATGCATCCCTTTAGTTTGCCTTCCAGCTGGGTATAATGTTAAGAATATGGGACTCGAATGGATGAGGATTCAAACCTAGGCTTTTTGGCCATGAACAAAATGAATTCTGTGAGGCTTGTTTTCTTCATCTCTAGTGTGAGGATGATAATAACTGCCGTGACAGGTTTTCTATAAATGGAAACAGTATAACACAGATAACGTACCTGCTAATCAATAGTCTCCCTCTTTTCTATGCCTGTTTGGTTCCCATGAACTCAGAATGTTTTTTTTTTTAAAGTCAGGAATGAGTTGTTTATCTAATTTTATTGAGATATAATTCACACCCTCAATGTATGCAATTCAGTGGCTTTTAGTAAATTTACAAGGTTGTACAACCATCCCTACTTAATTCTACATCATTTTCATCACCCCTCCCCTACCTCAAAAAAAAAACTCCAACCAGTCATACTCATTAGCAGTCAGCACCCATTCCCCTTCTCTACATCCTGTGGCAACTGCTAGATAGCTTTCTATCTCCAAATTTGCCTAGTTTGGATATTTCATATCAATGGATAATACACTATATGCCCTTTTGCATCTGGCTTCTTTCACTTAGCTTCTGTTCTCAAGGAGCATCCATATGATAGCATGTATCGGGATTTTATTGCTTTTTATTTTGAATTACATTCCATGACATGAATATGCCACATTTTGTGTCTCCATTCATCGGGTTATGGACATTTGGGCTATTCAAAATATATTTTACCAGATTATATCCTGTAATGTCAACAGGGGAGGTATTATAAGATCGAGTATCTCATATTCCTTCAAAACCACTCATATGAGGTATTAGTGAAAAAGCACTGTGTTGGGCAATATGAGGAACAGAAATAAATCTAGATCCAGCTGTGGAGAACTTGAAGTGTTTAACTGAGGCAGTGTTCATATAGGGATTTGGAAGAGTCAAATTTAAGAGGGATGGGGGTGGTGTCATGCAGGTGAGCTTCAGGGAGAAAAGTGCATTTTAACAGAACTCTGAAAGGATTAAATCTGGACATTCTGGTAGCATTCCTGGTAGAAGGAACAGTGAGAAGAAAAACACAAAGGTAAGGAGGTGTCAATGAGCAAGAAGCAGAAAATGTTCAATTTTAGCAAAGGGAACAGTGGAGAATAAGGTTGAAAAGTTGGATTAGACTGAATTATAGGAAAATCTCAAATGCCAGACTAAGAAACTTTTCCTGTCATATAAGGAAATAATAATCAAAATTTTTAAATTAAGGCACTTTAAAATATTCTAAATAAATATTTTTTAAATTTGTTTAACAATTGTTCAACAAAATGAATACTGGAAAAGATTAATAAAATCCTAAGATTTTCATAAAGCTTGTATGTCTTTAGGAAGTGTAAATTTAACTGGCCCAATGATGACTCAAAGAAAAAAAAAAGATCTACCATGGCTCTAGAATTCTAAAACTCCAACCTGTGGCTCATTTCACTCTCTTCATTTATTCTTTGATTCGATTCAAATCACCTGTGGCACTCAAGATACTGAAATTTCTAGGCTTAGTGCCCAGGCATCAGGATTTCCTGGGAGGTGGTGATCTTGCTGCACAAACAAGGCTTAAAAACTACTTCTCAATAAGGTAAAACATGATGATATAAGACAGAATTCATCATACAGATACAGCAATGTTTTTTTGGACGCTGGCAGATTTCTAGAGTACCATTTATACCTGGTCTTAAAAGTTCCCCAAACCAATGGTTTAACCTGTGAATCTGTTTTACCTGTCCAGCTTAAGCACTTAAATTTGCAACCCAACTTAAGATCATCCATGATATTTATATCTCAAAAAGGGATATTTTCTAGAATATCATGAAAACAGGAGTCAGCCTCACCATCTACCTCTAAATGACCACCTCTATTGTTGAGAACCCTGAATCATAAAGCACCATTTCCCCAGGGCATCATTATCAGTGGGGACCTGCAGGTGAGTATCCACTGGGCCAAGGAGCAGAATTCAATTTCAATTTGTGATATTTTGCTGAACTTTCTTTAGATACTGACCAATCGGAAAAGCTATGTTCTCTTCTAGCCACGTTATTGCTCTATGAGGATAAAGAAGAACCTTAACTATTGACAATTTCCAACCCTCCTAATACTTTTTCCTCACTACATATGATCTTAAAGTTTTCATCATATTTAAATTATTGAACCTCAATTCAAAATTCAGGTCCCAAACAAGAGGAACTTACTGCCAATTCCTGAACAAATGAATGGTATGGTGGTTAAGTGTTTTAAGAAAACAACTGAAGCAGGACAAAGCAAAAATCCAAGTGGGTTTGGTGATCAACTAAACTTAACTAGTATCACTGGAAACAAAGTTATCCAATTAGGAAAAGCATTTAAGTATATTATAACCTCCCTGGCCCAAATGGGGAAGTAACAGAAACCCAAAGTAGTCAATTTCAATTATTTTATCTTTTATATACTAACATAATGTCATTTTTTAATTCTTAAAAGTGAAGACACAGGACACAAGTATGGTGGTGCACACTTGTAATCCTAGTGACTCAGAAGGCTGAGGCAGGATGATTGCAAGTTCAAAAGACAGTTTCAGCAGTTTAGCAAGGTCCTAAGCAACTTAGTGAGAACCTGTCTCGAAAAATAACAAGAGCTGTGGATGTGACTCAGTAGATGAGTGCTACTGGGCTCAATCCCCAGTAGCAAAAAAAAAAAGAAAAGAAAAAAAGAAGTGAAGTAGTAGATTTTTACTACAGATAAAATGTCTAATTTTACTCCTTTTTCAACCTTTTTTCATGCTTTCTCCAGAAAGAATTTTAGTACTAGTATTTACTAGTAACAACAACAAAATGTGTGTGTGTGTGTGTGTATAAATAGCCAAATAGTTTAGCACACTGTGGAAATGACCATGAGCCAGATTTGTGATAATGCATTAAATTCCTACATATGGACATCAGTCATCTGGGTGCTCACCTGAGTGAGACTGTATCATCCAATGATTATAAATAAAAAATGGTCACTGCTAATTTTATATATGGGCTTTTAGAGACTTTCATGGGGCCACATTCTGAAAGAAATAAGCACATGTCAGGAGCCGCCCTGTACAGGAGCTATGTACACACCTTAAGTCCTGAGTAAAGAGGTACTGGACTGGTTTTGGACCCATTGCAATACAGGTGGACTTTACCTCTGCTTGGATAAGAAAGGTGCAGTTCAGGGAGTGGGTGTTACCAGATGGTTGTACCAAACTCACCTGTTTGTTGTAATCCTTCCCTTGTTGTAATCCTTGCCCTTTTTTGGATGGAATGTTCCATGGATTAGTTCCCTCCATTAATAAAACCCCAGTTCAAGGCGTGCTCCCCTCCTCTTTCTTGCCTGCCTTGCCACCGTTGTGGGAGCTGTAGCTGATGAGCAGTCACTGAGCCCCCAAAAAAGGTACTTTCTGTGTCTGTGTCTTTATTTAGTCAGCCCAAATTCACTTGGAGTGACTCTGATTTAGTCACATGTACCTGCAAGCACACAATATAGATTATAGCAAGTGTGTCTTACTTCTTCTAGGGCCTCCAGTTCTTCCTCCAGCTGCTGGGATTCCTCCTTCACGGCCATAAGGTAATCTGTAACGGACTGTCGGGGCTGCATCCCCTTTTCAAAACGGTTATACATTCCACTCCAAAACCTAGGAGGAAAGAGCTTTACAGTACCACCAAACCACAATCTGAAAACTCACATTCTCAAATCTTACAAGCTATTTTTAATATTATAGTTCCACAGTCTAAATAATAACCAAACACAAATTACAAGTTCAAAAAAGCCGCTCGCAATAATTTCATGTTGATGGTTTTTGGGGGGAGCCCATAAACTTTTGAAGAAAGTTAAGTTCATGAAGTGTCTACTTATATATGATACTGAATTAGGAGGCATAATAATAAATATATTTTTATAATAGATTGAAGTAACACATGTTACCACATTTTTGTTTTGGTTTAATAAAATCGCTGTTTTGAACTTCAAAATTAGTGAACATATAGTCTTTCAGCTACAAAAGGAGGCTTTTAAACTTGAAGCTTTTTTTTTAAAGTATAATAGAATTAACATTCTGCTCATTCTGCTCTAAAAGTCTGGGGAAATAATGATATTAAAATAAATGAGAATAAAACCATCTTGAGGAATAAAATCTTTGTGGGGGGGGACCCAGTAAGTATTTGTTGGGAGTGAGTAGGGAAAAGGAATGTGGTTTCTCATATTCTGTGCACTGGCCTTTTGGCTGAGCTCTGAGTCATTTCATCACGTAAGACTAGAGAAGAAGCCAAAGGATATACAACATGCTTGGTCTCCCATCCCAATATATAAAATCTTAAAATAATCTATTTCCACAAGAGAAATAAGCTGGGACTTGATTCAGCAGAGATAAAACCATGTGATAATTTGATAAATGTGTCATTCTAATTTAGCCTATAAGACACTTGGTTTTCTTTTTTCTCTTCCTCTCTTCCCCTCCTCCCTTTCACTTTCACATAGAAATATAAGTTTCTATGTATTTCTAAGATACCGTTATTATAAAACATCAACTTCTGAAGAGAATTTCACATTTAGAGGGATGAGAGGGAGGAGACACGGCCACAAATACAGTCAGTTATTCAAGCATCTTCTGAAGGATTGTGTATACAAAAAAGCCTTGAAACCCATTGTCTCAGACACTTTGGCCTCTGAAAGTTAAACAGTGCCAGAATCCAGTTTCACTCCATAGTTTGAAGATTGCTAAAGGTTTACATACTTGTACATGGAGTTGCATGGAGCTGCAGGGAGGTGAAGGCATCCCTGGTACTGACTGTGATCTGCTCTAAACAGAGGATTCAGGTAGTCGGCCCGATTCTTCAACAGATGAGCCCATAAAGAGTATGTTCTTTCTTGAATACTGTTTAAAAAAAAAAAAAGTCGAAAATGACTGATCTTGGTTCTTAAGAATAGTAAATGTATAATATAACAGGTGAAAAGGAACTAAGCACTGTGATCTGAACAACAGTCCTTGTTCTACAGAAGGGAAATTTAAAATCTTTTTTGGTGGTTTCTTGATATAGTAGAATAGCACTATAATAATCTCAACTCCTCCCCTACTATCTGCATTAGCCTGGACAGGATGTTTAATTCTTGTTAAGTTAAAAAAAAAAAACAAACTGCTTATATAGTTTTTTGTCCAAATATTCATTGAACATTTATTATTTGCCAGGCTGTTTTCAAAGGGCTTCCCGTGTTTTCTCTCTTTTGACCCTCACTGAATTCCTGTAAGATATATCCACCTCTGGAAGAGACACTAAAGAAATGGAGAGATTAAGTAGTTCCTATGGCTAGTGAATGTAAAAGCCAGAATTAAAATCCAAGCAGATACCATTAGAACTTGAGAGTCTGGTGCAACAAGCCACGAATTATGTGGGAAAACAGGTGAGCCTACAGGATGCGCTCTGCTTCTTCTAAATCATCCCCCATCAGGAATACTTAAAGTTCCTTGGACAAAATAAACCAGTATCCACTGGAAAAAGTATTTTTGTATAACTTAGATGGCATAAAGCCTATTTTACTTAAACTGTTTATTTCTAAAATTAAATTTGATCATGTATATACCATAGTTAAAATCATTTTATTCTATGAAAATCTCAAAAATATTCTCTTATTTGCACTTCCTAAATCACCTTCTTGTTATTAAGTTTCTGACTTTATAATGTACTTGGAAGTCCATATTTTATCTACTTTTACCCTTGGATGATGCAGTGCACTTTTAATCTAAATTAACAGTGCCTTGAGTTTAAAATTTGTTTTCGCTGTTATATTTGCAGTTTTTATTCTAACCATATATCCACTCAAGATACCTAACTTTTAATTGCAAAAATTATTTTCTTTGACTCCAGAATTATTTTCAAGACCCCCCAACCTGTCTGGGTATATCAGGCATAAACTGGGGGAAAAAGTACAACTGTACAGATCTCTGTCAGTTGATTACATTTTTGCCACTTTGATTGTATGTGGTGCTGAGGATCGAACCCGGGCCGCACGCATGCCAGGTGAGTGCGCTACCGCTTGAGCCACATCCCCAGCCCCAGATTTTTGCCACTTTGAAATGATGCCAGAAACAAGAAAAGAACTTGAATCTGTCAGTATAGATATGTGCACTAAATGACATAGTGTCCAAAATTATAAAAGTCCACCTGAAAATTCTATGTTGCCCAAAGCTTGAGATAAAAGTTAAAACTCCAAAATACTTACTTGAGTTCTCGTCTCTCCTTTTGACTGTTGCATAGGAAGTTTCCAAACTGGCAAGAATAAATGTGATGTTGAATGTGAATCAGAAACCTCTCATTGAACTCAAAGGCACAGGGAAATTGTTCCATTAATTGCCAGACACACTCAATGAACTGGTCAATTACTGGGGAGATTTCTTTTGGGTCACCATCTAGATTGCCATATCTATAAAACAAAGTAGAAGATATGTTATAAGGTAAGTTTTTTTAATTAGAAGGCTATAAATTCATAAACTATCATAAAGGCAACACTAGTTCCTAAAAAATCTTATAAACTCAGTATTACTAAGAGGTAGAAAAATTAACCTTTAAATTCCAATTTCAAGAACTTCGTAATGGTGGTATAAAGAAGAGAACATGTTCATGTTATAGTTACAAAAGAAAGTGTTAAAGTAGAAGAGTTGGGGCTGGGGATGTGGCTCAAGCGGTAGCGTGCTCGCCTGGCATGTGTGCAGCCCGGGTTCGATCCTCAGCACCACATACAAATAAAGATATTGTATCCGCTGAAAACTAAAAAATAAATATTAAAATTCATTCTCTCTCTCTCAAATAAAATAAAGTAGAATAGTCCCAGAGATTAAATTCAAGGAAACTTTCCATGAAAAATGAGCAGTTTTTATTTCAAACTTTAAAAGTACAACAAAACTTATTTTTGAAATAAATCTTCTACTTTATTAATGGCTAATGGGAGAATTAGAAGCAATTTCTAAGCAACTTCTGGGTTTTTCACTCTTGCATTGTTTGCTGGGAAGAAATAAGGAAGAAAGACAATTTGAAAAAAAAAAATAATGGTTTCCTAGGATATTCTCATTTCTAGAGTAAAAACAAAACACTCATTTTTATATGACCACAGATTCCACAGAAAACTTTTTTTAGGATAATATAAAATATTTTATCTTGAAACAGCAAGCAATATTTTTGAAATGACAAGTGAATGTACATTACATACTGCTCTTCTATAAACAACTTTAAATAAAATCTAAAGTCAAATAGAATCTAATCAATAAATTTTGTGTTATTTGTTGGAAATTTACATTTTCCCAAATAGTTAGACATTTTCTTTTGCTTTCTTGATTAACTGAGCATTTCTCTAATTATACATGGATTATCAATTTTCAGGTTAATATAATATTAAAACTCTTTGTCTTTTGAAGATAATGTAATTTTAAAACCTTCTGTGTTCTTGAGATAAAATATCATCTGGTAATACATATTTGTTCTGTGTAAGTAATATGTTTATGTTCTGGGCAGAAGACAATAAGTCAATAGAGAAAGAAGAATGCCGTCATTTGTATTCTTTAATATCCCCCAAACTGTATGTTAAGACTTGCTCCTCAGGGTGGTTCTATTGAGAGGTTGTGAAGCCTTTAAGAAGTGGGGTCTTTAGGTCAGTGGAGGTGTGCTCTCAAAGGACAAAGTGGGACCCAGGCCTCTTCTTCTTCTACTCTTTTTTTCTTTATTAAATTATTTATTAATTCTAATTTGTTACACATGATGGCAGAATGCAATTCATTTCATATTACACTATAGAGCACAATTTTTCAAGTCACTGGTTGTACACAAAGTATTTTCACAACATTCATGTTTTCATACATGTACTTAGGATAATGATTTCTAACTCATTCCACCATCATTCCTATCCCCTTACCCCCTCCATTTCCCTCCATTCCCTTCCCTCCCCTTTGCCCTAACTAAAGTTCTTCATTCCTCCCATGCTCCGCCACCCCATAGCCATTATGAGTAAGCATCCTCATATCATATTTGCCTTTGGTTTTTTGGGATTGTCTTACTTCACTTAGCATATTATATTCTCCAACTCCATCCATTTAACTGCAAATTCCATGATTTTATTCTCATTTAATGCTGAGTAATGTTCCATTGTGTGTATGTACCAAAGTTTCCCTATCCATGCATCTACTTAAGGGCATCTGGGTTGGTTCCACAATTTAGGTATTGTGAATTCTGCTGCTATAAACGTTGATGTGGCTGTGTCCTTGTAGTGCTGTTTTTAAGTCCTTTGGGTATAAACTGTGGAGTGGGATAGCTGGGTCAAATGGGTCAAATGGTTGTTCTAGTGTTTTGGGGAATCTCCATACTGCTTTCCAGATTGGCTACACCAATTTGCAGTCCCACCAGCAATGTATGAATGTGCCCTTTTCCCACATCCTCACCAACACTTGTTGTTGTTTATATTCTTAATAGCTGCCATTCTGACTGGAGTGAGGTGAAATCTTAGTTTTGATTTGCATTTCTCTAATTGTTAGAGATGTTGAACATTTTTTCGTATATTTGTTGATTGATTGCATATCCTCTTCTGAGAAGTGTCTGTTCAGTTCCTTGGCCATTTATTGATTGGGTTATTTGTCTTTTGGATGTTTAGCTTTTTGAGTTCTTTATATACCCTAGAGATTAGTGCTCTATCTGATGTGCAAGTGGTAAAACTTTGCTCCCAAGCTGTAGGCTATTTACCTCACTGATTGTTTCTTTTGCTGAAAAGAAGCTTTTTAGTTTGAATCCATCCCATTTATTGACTCTTGGTTTTTTAATTCTTGCGCTATAGATGTCTTATTAAGGAAGCTGGGGCCTAGTCCAACATGATGGAGGTTTGGGCCTACTTTTTCTTCCATTAGGTGCAAGGTCTCTGGTTTAATTCCTAGATCCTTGATCCACTTTGAGTTGAGTTTTGTGCATGGTGAGAAATAGAGATTTAATTTCATATTGTTACATATGGATTTCCAGTTTTCCCAGCACCATTTGTTGAAGAGGCTATCTTTTCTCTGATGTATGTTTTTGATGCCTTTGCCTAATAAAACTGTAGTTATATGGATTAGTCTCTGTATCCTCTATTCTTACCATTGGTCTATAGGTCTATTTTGGTACCAATACTATGCTGTTTTTGTTACTATTGCTCTGTAGTATAGGTCTGGAACAGCAAATGCCACCAGCTTCACTCTTCTTGCTAAGGATTGCTTTGCCTATTCTGGGTCTCTTATTTTTCCAGATGAATTTTATTATTACTTTTTTTTATTTCTATGAGGAATGACATTGGGATTTTGATTGGGATTGCATTGAATCTGTACAGTGCTTTGGTAGTATGGTCATTTTGACTATATAGTCACATTTGACTATATAGTCACATTTGACTATATAGTTCTGCCTGTCCAAGAACAAGGTAGATCTTTCCATCTTCTAAAGTCTTCTTTAATTTCTTTCTTTGGTGTGCTATAGTTTTCATTGTAGAAGTCTTTCACCTCTTTCGTTAAGTTTATTCCCAAGTATTTTTTTTAAGCTATTGTAAATAGAGTGGTTTTCCTAGTCTCTCTTTCTGAGGATTTGTCACTGATGTACAGAAATGTCTTCAAAGGCATCAACAAATTTCTAGAGGTATATGATATGCCCAAACTAAATCAGGATTAGATATACACAATTTAAACAGATCCATTTGAAGCAAGGAAATAAAGGACACCATCAGAAGCCTACCAACCAAGAAAAGCCCAGGACCGGATGGATACATAGCTAAGTTCTACAAGACCTTTAAAGAACTGTCACCAATACTTTTCAAACTATTTCATGAAATAGAAAAAGAGGGAACAATTCCAAATACATTCTATGAGGCCAATGTCACCCTGATTCCAAAACCAGACAAGACACATCAAAGAAAGAAAACTTCAGACCAATATCTCTGATGAATACAGGTGTAAAAATTCTCAATAAAATTCTGGCAAATTCAATAAAAAATATATCAAAAAGATAATGCACCATGATCAAGTAGGGTTCATCCCAGGGATGCAAGGTTGGTTCAACATATGGAAATCAATAAATGTAACTCATCACATTAATAGACTCAAAGATAAAAATCATATGATCATCTCAATAGATGCAGAGAAAGCATTTGACAAAATACAGTATCCCTTCATGTTCAAAATGCTAGTAAAACTAGGGATATCAGGAACATACCTCAACATTGTAAAGGCTATCTATGCTAAGCCTCAGGCCAACATCATTCTAAATGGAGAAAAATTGAAAGCATTCCTTCTAAAATCTGGAACAAGACATCTTCTTTCACCACTTCTATTTAACATAGTTCTAGAAACTCTAGCCAGAGCAATCAGACGAAAGAAATTACAGGGATATAGATAGGAAAAGAAGAACTCAAATTATCACTATTTAAAGATGATATGATTCTGTACCAAGAAGACCCAAAACATTCCCCATCCCATATATGGCAAACCAAGGTCAGAGAGGACAGATGCCCAAAGTCAGACAGTAAATGCCACAGCATGCATTTGGAGTTGCATCTGTCTGGCTCCAATGCCTGGGCCACTGTCCCACATGATCTCTCCAGAGGTATCTGGGAGAAACTTCGATGTGATGTGAATGCTTCAGGAACAATCCAATCTGATTGCCACTGTGAAAAAGCAGGGAAACTGTTCTCCGGGCATTTCACAACTTGCAGCCTAAAGTGAATGTCAGCACTTCCAAAATGGAATAATTCAGTAAATCCAGTGTGCATGGAAGGAGGGAGAGTTGATCCTTCCTGGGTCAATGAATGACCAAGTGTCATATGTCTCTTCTGGAACAATTTAACTTTACTGAGTTCTGCCCAACTAATACCAAGTGCAGTTAGAGTTTGAGAATTTCCTCTCAAACTATGATGCAAAATGTACAACATAATTTAAACTTTCCAAATGGGATACACAAATAGTAGTAAAAATCCTTTCAAAATCAAGCTATTTTTCCCCTGGACACTGCACTGAAAACTTCGGAAACAGTGTTTTTATCCTAAACATTCAAAGCAACAGATTTTAAAATATTTCTTACCTGTGATTAAACTTATGGCCAAAGGAAATCCAGTCCTTTTCTATTAATACCTACACAAGAAAGAATATAAGTATCATGGAGAGAAGCAAATGAAGGAAAATAAGAGACCATAACCAACAATACTGAAAGATTCAGAGACATCTGGTTCAGAAATCACTATCCTCAGATAACCAGAAAATAAGTAAGAAATGACAATATCCACCAATGCATGTGGGAAGGGCAAAATTGAAGGTCATGCACAGGAAAAATAAATGAGAACTGAAGTTAAAAAAAGAAAACACCATAACACCATCCACTCAATGCTTCCTCCCTGCTGGACACTGCTGTGCTTCCCATGTGACACCTCACCTCATTGTGGGATAGGTGTTATTATACCTGTCATTTTACAGCAACAGAGAGTGAAGCAGAGAGAGATTTAATATTCACCTGCTATAGGAAGCAGAGGACACCACTTTACACCACAGGTCTCTCTGCTCTAAACCCCATCTTTTAACCAATACATGATACTGCCTCTTTGAATAATTAAAAATACCAAACTTTCAATAAGAAACAGTTAGAAATGCTTTCCAGTGTTCTTTACTATACATGAGAAAAATTCTAAAATGGGTTTATGAGTATATTAGAAGCTTTAGCCCTGCTTTGGAATTAGGGTTACCATAAGTTCACAGACTGAAGTAGTCTGGATTTAAAAAATGTTAACTATATGGAATAGTCCTATTAATATCACCAGTGCTCTAAAATGACCATTAGTTTCCCCCCAAAAAAGTGTATGGACCAGTTGAAATCTGTCCTTGTTAACTCAGAAGGGCATTTCAATTGTGCTATAAATTTAATGTGGCACAATCAGGAAGAGAGTCAGTGGAAGAAAAGGAAGGTATGTGGAAGAAAGATTCATGGCAGGGTGTGACTGGGAACCGAGTTTCCAAAAGTAAACGAGGGAATCTAGCCCTCCTAACCTCAGCCCAGGAGAGGGGTCTAAAGCAGGAATGTCACCCTCAAATCAATCCTGTCACAGAAGTTCTTAGGCGCATCCTGATAAAATGAAAGGGAAAGCTCAGGGAGGAAGCTGGCCTCTTCTCTCAAGTCCCCAGGGTGTCAGCTGATAGCACTTGGGAAAGAGATTAGTAGTAATGATATTCCAATAGGGCTCCTCTCAGCATCTATCCCCAGAATGGCATTCTCTATCCAATCACTGTTCAAGAGGAAGGAACTAGTTAATGGCCCAATCACTAGAAAGCCCCTGCAGTCATTTTAGGGAAATCTCACTATTCAATCAAAACTTCACTACCCCAGGCAACTGTAGTCAGAAGCAATGTATCACATCTTGATGTATACCCAAAAAGGATCAACCTCTAGGAGAGAATATACTCATAATTGCATCAAAGAACACAAAAACCTTAAAAACAGTGAATATTCTCATCTAAGTTGTGAGGATTACTTAGAAACCTGGAAGTGACAGAAGTTTTTCCTTCTAGAGACGATTAGCATGAACAATATAGAAAATGTTTTCCCTGATATTTTTCCCCAAAAGTATTTTGTTACACACATTATCCCAAACTTGAAGTATTTATGAGCAAATTTTTATAAAGCTTATTATTTTTCCCACTACTGAATGTCTTTTATATTTGTCCCCATTCATATTCAGTAGCATTGATCTGAAGTGGTTTCAATATCCCAGAAATGTACCTCTTTACTCCAAGCCTACTTCACTTTTTCTCCTTTAATTAACCTTGCTGATCTACTAAGAGAAAAATAATGCTGATGAGAAAAAAAAAAATGTTGCCAAAAGTTTCTTAAAAAAGAAGTCCACTGTGGTCAAGGCACTGCCTTTCCAGGGAAGGCCCAGCAGCCACACTCACCATGAAGCCCTTCAGAGTCCGGTAGTGTGGATCCAGCAGGAGGCTGGCCACCGAGCACACTTGAGCAGTCCTGTCCCAGCCATCAGAGCAGTGGACAAGCACACTTGCCCCTTCCTCTGAAACTGCCTAGAAGATACCAATCAGCAGAGTCACACAGAATGACGATAGAAGGAAACATCTCTCATCAGAACTAGGTTTAACTTCTATACTTAGAGAAAGATATAGACAAAACAGAACAAAACCTGTTCATTCTTTTATTTGGCATTTATGCCCTGCCTTCCTAGGGCAGAACCAAGGAGTGGCCCAGTGAGTGCTAGCAGCTAAGCTTTTCCTGCCCTTTCCATTACATCCAGAAGCCCTCACTCAAGTCACCTCAAATTTAGCACAGATATGAAATAAAAGTATTTTTCTGTGCAAACATAACTTTCTGACATCTCTTGTCCACCCTCCACCCTCTCCTGCCCTCCCATTTCCATGTGAAGTCTTATTGAAATCTTGGAATAACTACTGGCCCCAACCTTTTCCAAAAAGGAAAAGGCACAAAATTTTAAATTTTAAAAGCACAAAATTAAAGATAAAAGGATAAGAGTGCAGTAATGGATATTTTAGGGAAAGAAGGTGAAAACAAAGCTAAAAATTGTACCAGAATTATCTGCTAAGGAAGATTTTTCTATTCACTATTGAAACTACACACATAACTTCTAGCTGAAAGTATCCTGGCAAGAAATGTAAATTGGTAAAGATATCATTATAAGCATCTATCACTACCTGAAATTTATTTTTATTTTTTTACTCCTGCTTTTGGTCTCCCACATCAGAATGTCAATTGTGAGGGATGAGAGACGTGATCTGGCTTAGCCGGCACTGCATCCATAGCACCTAGAATAGTACCAGGCACTAAATAAATATTTGTTGAGTAAATGATTATCTAATAAAGGGGAGCAGACCATGTCATCAGAAAAGATGATTCTCTTAAGTGTAAATCTAAGAGGAACTTATTTTTAGAAACACTGAACAACACAATAGAATACATTCAAAAACAGTGAAAGTTGCCACAATATTCTTCCCATGGCAAAGTGGAATCCACCTGCCAGTTTGAGGGACATAACTTCTGCTTATGTCATGTCTAAGAAAAATAATATATTCAATGGAAGCCTTAAGGCCCTATCACTGAAATGACTCACATTTGGTTGTACTGTCCTGCAGAAAATTCTTTGTTCCACCAGAACTAAGCCTAATGGAAGAGAGAATATTTTGGAAATAGTCTACTTGACCACTGAAATATCAACTAAGCACTGTACTCTTGCAAAATTACATGTTCAGAAGGCAAACCTTATGGAGGTCTACAAAGCCAGCCATCTACTCAGGACAGCAGAGTGAAGTACAGGGGAGCCCATGGAGAGGAGACGGGTCACCTTTCTGATGTCAGCATGGTTGCTAGTCTACCCCTTAATTTGTTTTCTCTGCAATCACATACCTTTGCAATGAAGATTCCTGCATCCATGATTGCCTTGATGTGCCTTAACCAGCCAGAGTTCTCCAGCCCCCACAGGAAATCACTCATAGAGGGAGATTTGAGTTCACATACTGCAAAATGAATCAAGATATAAAAGTGAAATTAAGGCAATCTCTCTTTTATGTATGATCATATTTTACAGGTAGTTTATTAATAATTTGTTTGTTGTAGTAGATATTCTCTGGACAACCTGAATCAAAAGTTTACTAAACTTGGTTCCATTGAACCATTTCAGGTAAGGCTTTTCTACTTTCATTGGCCATGATGGATGCTGCATTTGTTTACCAGAAACATATCTGTAAGGTTAAACCCAATTAATGAAAATCATTGAATGTTAGTATAGTAAAGGTTCAGCAGAGAACATCTACTTACCTTTCCAGTAAAGATATTAAAAATGAGGGGGGCTGGAGTTGTGGCTCAGTGGTATAGAGTGCTCACCTAGCTGGGTTGGATCCTCAGCACCACATAAAAATAAATAAATAAAGATATTGTGTCCAACTACAACTAAAAAATATTTTTTAAAAATTGAAAGATATTAAAAATGGGTACCTAAGGAGTACGTGGATCAAGACTACTAGGGAGGAAAAAACATAAAACTAACTCTAGTACTTATCCAATTAGAACTCAACCTCTTCAGTTTGAGACTATTACAAAAATATAAAATGGAACTATCCCAAAAGTCTTCATGAAATGACCAGATTCCTGTTCTCAACAATGCAATGGGAGTTAAGCCTGTGAACTTAAAAATGAGATCTGTGCCTCTGATCCACTCCAGTGCAGCAGGCCAGACACTTTCCCTTTGATTGAAATAAACCCAGTGTCCAAATGATAACTATATTGTATACACATAGATATCTGAGGTAGGTGTGTAAACACTCCTATAACATCACCAACAAGAAACTTTCATCTCAAGAACTCCTCTTTAATAGAAGGTATGAAAAAACTTTAAAACTAGTGTTCTGACTATATATCACAAATTCTGCATTTCAATGTTTATAAGAATTATGCCCAGAAAGCCCATTTTAAGGAGTTTTATAATACAAACCATGAAAATTAAACAATGATCCATAGTTTTGTTGTGGTGGTGTTTTGGGTTTTTTTTTGTACTTTGCAGTGAAATAAACATAGGCGAGGAGAGGGAGCCCTATTTCCTACTCAGCTCCGTCAGTAATTAGCTATGTTGTCTTGTACATGTCATTTAACTCTTTGGGCCTCAGTTTCTTCATTTTTAAAATAGGGAAGATATAGTAAATTAAATTCTTCCATCCCTAAACTCCCAGATTCGACTCTTATTAATTCTTTGAAAGCACTGTGTATATGGAGCACGTGGCAATGATTAATGACAAATATTTAACTTATTTGTTAAATAAGTTAACAAATAAGCCCCTTTTCCAAAGATAGTTATATGTTAGCCCTGCCCCTAAATATGCTAGATCACAGGGGATTCACTCTGATTTTGTGCAACCAAAGAGTCACACAGAAAAGCAAAAGTGGTTAAATTCTGAGTCACAGAGACAGCAATGATGAAAGAAATAATACAGAGATTCCCAGCAAAAAGCCCTATTTTAGAAAGCCATATGAGGACCATGTTTAGTTAAGATTCCAAAATCTTTCCAAAAGCCTGACCTGCTGGAAGCACCTAATAACCAATGGCAGAGGGTGTGGGGTAGTGGGTGTTTGATGTCTCTCTCTCTTTAGCAGTACTCTGGTTGGGAGCACTGTCATTCTGCTAGGTCACAGTGTTGTCCCCTTCCAGCTCCAGGCCCAACACCACAGGCCGGAAGACACTATCATAACCTGGTAAAGTACACAAAGGGTACTCTACTGAAGCCCAGGGGAGAATACACACAGCCATTCACAGAAGCTATAGTTCCAAGTCAACCCTGAGGTCCTGGGTATTTAGCAGTGTTTTCAAGCTTACAATTTTCCTCATTTTATGAGGAAATATTTATGAGATATTAAAATTTGTATGAGTTTTAAATATTACACATGTGGACAATGAACTATTACTGAGCAATAAAAAGAAATGAACTATTATAACATGAAAAGACATGGAAGAAACTCAAATGGATATTACTAAATGAAAGAGGCCAACTTGAAAATGCTACATCCTTTAGCCTCCCAACTATGACCTTCGAAAGAGGCAAAACACTGGAGACAGGGGCTGGGGCTGGACTCAGTGGTGGAGCACTTGCCTCACACACGTGAAGCACTGGGTTCGATCCTCAGCACCACATATAAATAAATAAGTAAAATAAAGATACTGTGTCCATCTATAACTTAAAAAAACAAACAAACAAACAAACAAAAAAACCCAACAACCTCTGGAGACAGTCAAAAGATCAGTGGTTGCCAGAGGCTAGGTTGGAGACACAGATGACTAGCTGGGGCACAAGAATTTTTAGTGCAGTGAACTCTGTATGATACTGTAACAGTGGATACATGCCATTAAGTATTTATCCAAACCCACAGGATGTAGAATAAGAGTGAGCCCTAATGTAAACTGTGGTGATGATGTGTCAATGTACGTTCATCCATTGTTACAAATGTACCATTCTGATGGGGCCAATTGATAACCGTGAAGGGGGGCAGAGTCTGTGGGGGTTGGGGATATATGGGAAATCTCTGTACCTGTTGATCAGTTTTGCTAAGAACCTAAAACTGCTCTAAAACATCTGTTTAATAAATAACGTAATAGATACTAGATTGGCTATAACTGTTTCAAATCTCTATTAAAAAGGTAGAAAATGCTACCAAAAAATGTCCCATGTTCCCATGCATCTTGCTTCCTTCCTTTGCAGTCTGTTAATATTCCCAAACACATTTCTGTCCTTTCACTACGTACATGCTAGCTGTGTGAGCTTGGACAGTATTTAGGCTTTCTAGGCCTTAGATTTCTTAGTTGTAAAATGGAGATAAACAAAAGCCCCTTTTCCAAAGATAGTTATATATGTTAGCCCTTATTACTATTATTATCCCCAAATAATACCACTTATATAGATAGATATGCATTAAAACTTGCATAATTATAACCTTTTGCAACTTGATGTTTTTTTCATTATTTCATTGAGCTATTCACATCAGTAAATATCATTCATTTTAGTAACTGCATAGTATTCCACTTGATGAATATATCTTATTTATCTGTTCCCCTACTGTTAACAATTATTTCTTTCCTCTATTCTAATATTTACAAACAGCACAGTAAAATATCATTGTATAATCTCCTTGTGGAAAATCTCCCTATAAATGTATTTCCATAACTGAAATGGAATGGGCCATAGGGTCAGTGCATCTTCATCAGTACCAAGTATTGCCAAATTGCTTTAGAAAGGGGCTGCATTCATTTGCATTCTCACCAGGAAGGTGGGAGAGTTCTTTCTCAAAATTGTGGCTACCACTTGGCACTATGACATTTTTTAGTTTTACCAAGTTTTATTTCTTTAAGGTTATTAATGCCAGTTTTATTGTTTTCTTCTTATTCTACTCTCTGGATTGAATCTGTTTCTTTATTTTTCCTCCTAAATTCTTTTTGTTTGCTTGCTTAGTAGATTGCCTTGTGCGTGCATGGTCTCTTATCAATGATATTGTGCTTGCTTTGCTCAATTTTCTGGTAATCTCAGTTCATTCCCACATGAGAGTGGAGCACAAAAGAGCTGGCTGGAGTGCCATGTACATGGCAGGCTTTCTTAGCTGCTAGCTTAGCTGTGGGAGATTTGGCCAGTCTCACCACAGATGGCAGGATCTGGAAGACCTTCTCTTGGAATGGCTGGAGGTCCCAGGGAGGGTCTCCATACACCTGCATGAGTCAATAAGACTGGATGACAATGTCCTAAGAATGGAATTGGGGCAGGGAACCACAGGTCTCCTCTTCCCTTTGTAGACATTCACTTAACCCATCCTTTTTTGTCCTGGTATTCCTTTCCCAGGTCCGCCAGCTTTGGGTGGGTTCCTGATCCCAGAAGCGTTCTAGAGGGTCAGTCTTTCCAGGAAATTCATCACCATCTTCTCCTGTGCAGGTGTGCGAAGAGGATTCACTGGCAGTGCAGGGGACAGAGAGGCTGGGACTTAACAACTGCTTCTGGCTGCCAACACTCAGCCAGTCCTCATTTGAGATACCTGACACCTCAACTTCCAGATCCTGAACAGCTGCAGTTCCATCTGGCTTGCTTTTTCTCACCTTCCAATCATGAATTCCAGCTTTTTTCTCATCTTTTCTGTCACTTATCACTCATCTATTATCCAGCTTTCATATTAGTGTCACTGTCACCTCCTCTTCCATTCTCTCATCTTTTTGTAGTTTTAACACACACACACACACACAAACACACACACACCTCTTTTTTTTTTTAACCACTTTGTTATCCTTTTAGTGGGGAGTAAGAAGTGGGTAAATACAGGTTGTGCTCAAATGAACAGAAACAACAGACCTAACTTTGGGCCAGAGCAGGGCAGGAGATTCCCCACTAGAAACTGAAGTGTTAAAAAAAAAAAAAAATGTACTCCTGGACCCAGTACGGTGACCTTAAGCTAGTCTCAGCCTGATCTCCACATAAGGAAAATTACAATTTACCCTGAGATGTTGAGACCCTGGGCGTGGACTGGGGCACGCTGAGGATCTAACCCACACTCTGCTTATGTACAGGAGCTTGGGAGCTGAGAAGTTGTCATGTTTGGGCTGCGAGTCTTGCAGACACCTGGCAGAAGCAACCCAAAGACTGCTCAGGAGAAAGACTTCCATAATTCTGTGGAATCCTTAGAAAAGGCTTCACTGAAGGTAAGTTGCAAACATCTAAGAACAGTGTTCCTAATAAAAGCAAGTAGAGAAGAAAAGGTACAGGATTGGCCCAGGAATATGATGCAACAGAACCATCATCTAGACAGACTTCAGCATATTTGCACTCAAGCAGGAGGTGGAGTAAAACACAAAGGGGTGGCATTCCTGGCGTGTTTGGATTCACATTTCTGGTGGCCTGTGGATGAGTTAATGTTGGCCACTACATGAGGTTGTTTCTTGTCATCTTAGTGAGTTCACAGCCAACCTTCCCAAAGTTCCCCGTGCTCATTGCCC